TTCTCTTACCTAATTATTTTTGCTTGGAATTTCTTTAATTAGAAATAAAACCTTTCACTAAAAATTAAAGAATAACATTTCAAAAGCACAAATACTGGAGATATATTTGGTGTGAGTGCATTTCTGTCAAAATCAGAATGCACTTGAAACTGGCTTAAAGAGATTGAGACCACAGAGAACCCAAAACATTTTGCCTGCAGACTATAGTTTACTGAGCTTGCCCTAGAAAATCTATGTATGCTGTATACCTCTATTATAGCTGTTATCACAATGTATTATAATAGGATTTGCATGTTTGCTAATCATTACATTGTGAAACTCTTAATGACAGAATTAACTTTATTCGTGTTTATTTTTCCATTGCCTAGCAGAGTGGTTGGCATTAGTAGGCCCTATAAAAATTTGTTTATAGGGATATTGTTTGTGCATTAAGTAATGCTCAAATATAAATTGGTTTGATGAAAAATATAAAAACAAGTCTGGGCTGTTCTTCCTATAGATTAGCCTAGGCTGCTCTGCCTGTGGAGTAGCCTGCTCTCTGTTATTTCAATTAACTTGTTTTAAAATAAAAAATGGGCTGAGCATGGTGGCTTACGCCTGTAATTCCAGCACTTTGGGAGGCCGAGGCGAGAGGATTGCCTGAAACCATGCGTTCAGACCAGCCTGGGCAACATGGTGAGACCTTTTCTCAACAATAAATCAAAAAATTAGCTGGGTGTGGTGGTACACGCCTGTAGTTCCGGCTACTTAGAAGGCTGGGGCGGAAGGATCACCTAAGTCCAGCAGGTCAAGGCTGTGGTGGCCGTGAGCATGCCATTGCACTCCAGCCTGGGTGACAGAGTGAGACTCTGACTCAAAAAAAATAAAAAATAGTAAAAACAAATCTACTGATTTGCAGAAGCACTTGAGCCCCAGTTCACTATTGAGTTTCATGTTTTAAAACACTGTGTACTCTTTTTAAAAATGATTTTATTAAGATATAATTTATATACCATACAATTCACCCATTTCATGTACACACTTCTGAGGTGTATTTTTATTTATTTTTTGAGACAGGGTCTTGCTCTGTCACCCAGACTGGAGTGCAGTGACACAATCATAGCTCACTGCAGCCTTGAACTCCTGAGCTTAAGAGAACTTCCTACCTCAGTCTCCCAAGTAGCTGGTACTATAGGCGCCTGCCACCATGCCTGGCTAATTTTCTATTTTTGTTGTTGTTTGAGAGAGAAATTAAATCCTGGTATGTTGCCCAGATGTTGCCCAATTCAGGATTGCCTGAGCCCATAGGTCAGGCCAATTCAGTATGGTCTCAAACTCCTGGTTTTGAGCAATGCTCCCACCTCAGCCTTCCAACATTCTGGGATTACAGTACTGAAATTTGTTTTTATTTTATTTTGTTTTTTGAGTTGGAGTCTCACTCTGTCGCCCAGACCGGAGTGCAGTGGCCGCTCCCGGCCACTCCAGCCTCGACCTCCTGGGCTCCGGCGATCCTTCCGCTTCAGCCTTCCAAGTAGCTGGAACTACAGGTGCACGCTACCATGCCCGGCTAATTTTTGATTTATTGTAGAGATAAGCTCTCGCCAAGTTGCCCAGGTAGGTCTCGACCCATGAGCTCAGGCAATCCACTCACCTCAGCCTCCCAAAGCACCGGATTACAGGCTGAGCCACCGAACCTGACTTGTGAAATTTGTTTTTAAATAGGGAAAGAGAAAAGGGCAAGGGTCTCTTTTCTTTGAGTTGCATACTAATACAAACTGTGGTGTTGTCCTGTTAACAATGTGATATAAATGACCAATCTAGATGCTTTCCTGTTTGAATTATGGGAAGAAGGCTACAAAGTGGTGCCTAAAGATGGGTAGAGGAGGACACAAATAGAAGAAAATAAAAAACGAAGAGGTTCTTTGGTATGCTATTTATTTCATACTAACAGAAAAGAAGCTGTGTTGAAAGGGGGTTTATGTCCTGCATGAAAACTTCTCAGTGTAAATCTGAACTTTGCTCACTATCCTTGAATATGCTGTAAGACTAATCCTAGAATCAGAGTCTCCTTCCTTCAGACTGAGCTATCCATAGCACATGTCCCTAGATTTGGGTTATTCCTCTCTCCCTTACTTTCCCACATCTTACTACTATTAGTTCTCGTTCTAATCTGTATTAGTTCTCTTTTGCTGCATAAACAGTTATGCCAAAACTTAATACTTAGAGCAGTAGTAAGCATTCATTATATCACATAGTTTCTGTGGGTCTGGATTTTGGGAGTGGTTTAACTGGGTCGTTCTGGCTTGAGGTATCTCACAAGATGGTGATCAAGATGCCACCTGGGCCATCAGTCATCTGAAGGCTTGACTAGGGCTAGAGGATCTATTTTCTTTTTCTTTTTTTTTTTTTTCTTTTTGAGTTGGAGTCTCACTCTTGTATCCCAGGCTGTAGTGCAGTGGCACACTCGTGGTCACCACTGCCTCAACCTGCTGGACTTAGGTGATCCTTCCGCCTCAGCCTTCTAAGTAACTGGAACTACAGACGCACACCACCACGCCCGGCTAAGAGGATCTATTTTCAAGAATGGCTCACTAATATGGATGGAAAACATGCTGAGTATTGGCGTGATGCCTCAGTTACTTGACAGGAGACCATTCCATGGGGCTGCTAGAGCATCTTCATGATATGACAACTGGCTTCCCTCTAGGTAAGTGATCTAAGAGAGCATAAGGCAAACATTTCAAAGTCTTTTATGACCTAGTGTTGATATTCACACACCATAATATCTGGAAAATCCTACTGGTTACATAGGTCAGCCCAATTCAGCATGGAAGGACTACATATAGGTGGGAATATTCAGAGGTAAGGATCATTGGTGCCATCCTGAAGGTTGTTTACCATTTTATTTCTTTAAAAATATATACATTACATATAATATATATGAGATCTATATATATCTTGAGATCTAAATCTAACTCAAAGAGGATTCCTGAATTCTGGTACTAGCTCTTGAATAATATAATACCTTGCCATTCATCCTAACTGAAAAAGTATCTCTGAAGACAGGCCAATAATTCTTAAATTGAAAAGACTAGAGAAGAGGGAAGGATTTTATTGTTAGGAATAATTTCAACGAATCTAGACTTTTTCTTCTCTATAAACTTCTTTCATTTCAAATAAAAATATTTACAGGAGCCCTAATCTTTTCCTATTCAAATTACATGATTGGCCAATACTCTGAAGTGATCTATATTTCTATTAGACTAAGTAATGGAAAAGGCAACTTGTGGTTTTAATCAGTAGAAAGAAAATAATTTGGCAACTTCTTTATGTTTGAATAGAACAAGATGAGCTGTATCATCACTTGTCTTTAATGTACATTTTGTCCTGCTTTTTATCCAAGGATCTGGACATGACAGACAGTAGAGGCGCCTGCTGTCTTTTAAAGACTGTCTAGAGGCTGTGGCATTTCCTGAACAAGAATAAACAGATCCTGTAACAATAGTTTAGAGATTGAATATAGGATTTATATTTAACCTTCCTATATTCTTCGTCAGCTTTAATGATAATGTCACTTGAATGAAGAAAAGGATTTAATATAAAAATGAAGCTCATAATTTGTTGCATTCTTTCTGTCCGTGGCAAACTTCTGGGAGTCACTGTGATTATTAAGTAGAAAGAGCATTAAACATGGGAGGTAAAAGAGACCTGAGTTTTGGTTTTGCCAGTATTTTTATAGCCTTAGGAAAGTTGTTTTTTTAATCGAGTTTTCTCTGCTGTAGATTGGTGGGTAAAGATGAGAGAGGGGTTTTTCTGAAGGCTTTCCTTCACCAAAGAGGCTGACATATTCAACCCTAATTCCAAATTTATCCCCACACAGCCAGCCATCCTCAATGCTTTGCAGGTCTTTGAGCGACTCTGGCATATTCTTGTTGCAACATCCCGTACTGGTATGCATCGGGGCTGCTCATTGAACCTTTAGCTGGTGGTATTTCAAAAACAGAATGAAATCTTCGTGGGTTGTGAAACCGTAAGAAAACGCCCGTCTCCGGGCTGACATTCCTTTATGGAAACTCCCGTGAGGAAAACCTCACACCTTCAGGTCCTTCCCTGGTCCTCCAAGATGATTAGCCTCATGGTAGGGGGTTTAGAGGACAGCGCATCTTGCGAGATCCTGACAGCTCCGGTTCCGAGAGGCCGTATTCCGACAAGGCATGGCAGGGCCTCACGACTTGGGCCCCTCATCGCGACTGCCTCAGTGTGTCATTTCGTTTCACGAGAAAACACTTCCAATTTCACCCCGAAAAGCCCAGTCCTGGGGTCACAACCATGTCTCTATAACCAATTTAACTGCTGGGCTAAAAGAACACTTATTTGCGCCAACCGCTCGTCTCAGTAGCCCCACTTCTCTCCTCGGGACAAGACCGGCAGTTGCGGCTACGGCTGGAACTACGAGGCCCAGAATTCCCGCGCGCATGCGCACTGCCATTGTGATGCTCCTTTCCCGGTAACTAGTCCTCTCAGGCAAACCTGAAGATAGCGGCAATTCTCCGGTGGGGGGCGGAGACGCTTCCAGCCTGACTCTCCGCCCCCTTCATGATAGGCAATGGAATTAGCCAACCTACGATGCGAATTTGGAACACACTCTCCAATCAGCAACTGTGGTGGCGAAGTGGGCGTGAGCACTGGCAGGGCAGGTGGGCTAGGCTGTGCCGGGTTGCGAGGGGGGAGAATAACGTCGGGTCGGGTCAGCGGGCGCTGCAGTAGTCGCCGCAGCGGCGATGGGAGCGGTGGGGACGAGGTGGCGGCGGCGGCGGCAGGAGGGGGAGCAGGGGCTGGGACAAGAACAGCGGCTGGGGGAAGCCAGCGGCAGCAA